TATGTATGTTTATAATTTTATACTCCCCTAAATGTGAATTACAAACCAAAGTTGTCCTCCGCCCAATGACCGTTCACTGCGGTTGGACCGAATCACTGTCAGGACAAACAGCAGAGGGAGGGGCTCCCAGTACCTTCAGCAAGGTATTCATCTCAGAGTACTTTCTCAGAGTACTTTTCTCAGAGTACTCATCCCAGAGTACTCTCACTTTTACACCTGTTCAATAAAGCTTGTTATCTTTGAATCTCTAGTACTTACACCGTATGCTGTTGACAAAAAATAATTATTCCATGATCACATTAAAACATTACAGAAAACTTTTGTTATTCCATGATCCGTTCAGCACTCCTCGTTCACTCCACATTTCACATCACACTCGCATCACACACGCATCACTCACACAGGCCGACTCCCCACGTTAGTATTTTGGTCCAGAGTTTGTTAAGGTCAACGTAGTGTACTTGACATGACGCACAAACATATAACATACACAAACATATAACATACACAAACATATAACACACACAAACATATAGCACACACAAACATATAACACACACAAACATATAGCACACACAAACATATAACACAGAAGGCCTGTAATTTTAACTTTGTTATATTTTTCCATGTCCAATTACAATTGTCTCATGAGCTATTTCTATTGTTGCAACTTTCAGAGCCTGCAAAACATGCAAAGCTTTAATAGATTTTTCCTACAAGGATCCATTTCAAACTTTAGTGTTTAAACCACGTGGTCTTTACTCGGGCTTATCACAGACTGTGTCCCCTATATTTTTAATGAGCTCTTGTTACTTAAAAAACTCATGCACGCGCAATAAATGTTTTTCCCTTTTTTTTTTTAAAGCCAGTTTGGATTCCTTAAAAATGTAAATTAGTCTCAAACTTTAATACTTCACCTTTGTTTCACGTTCATGTGGAGAAAAGACCATTGTTTTATGTGTGTGTACTTGCACCAATCATGTCTCAGATGAACGGCCAACAGTTATATCAAAGACATAATTGTCCTAATTGTTTCTAATTTAGCTATTTGGAAGAGAAGCATGTCATAAAAGATTTCATAAAATGTCCCTACATCCTTGTTTTCAACCAATGAACAGTGTTGCGTCAATGTGTTATCAGAAATGATCCAATATCACCTTTAGCCAAAATTTAGAAATGCTTTAAACCATTTTTCAAACTTTAATTGTCTGAACAAACCATTTTGTACTAAATGCAGCGTCCATTAAAAGCTGCAGTTCTCTTTCTAGCACCAGTTTCAACTGTGCATGTGACTGTTTTTAAATGATTAACAAGCCACGGTTCAAAGGTTGAAAACACTGCTTTAAATATCCGTATTACCAAGATCATGCAGTCAAAATCAATAATTCTAAACTTCTCCGCGTCTATAACTTTAAATAATAATACTAGTTTCAATAATAGAGCTCCTCTACCTTAAATATACTGCTGTTCTAATCTCCTTGTGTCTCATGCTAAAGAGTCGAATTAATTTTAACGATTGTCCTGTATTCTTTCATGCAGCTAAATGTGGTGTTATGAACGAATGACCTAGCTAAATGTGTAAATATGTCTTAATGTCTCTGTGCGTTTGTTGCCTGTCTGTATATTTACCTTCTGTCTGTCTCATTTAGGCCAGCCACGTCTTCCTCAAATGTCCGTTAATGTCTTTCTTTTACTCATGGCGTCTTTCAATGTCTTTTGTCTCAAAGTGTCCAATGTCTTTGTCTCAATGTCTTTTTTCTTCTTCTTTCAACAATCACTTTCTTTCTTCTTCCGATAACTCTTTCTCACAATGTCTTTCTTCTTCTTTCAACAATCACTTTCTTTCTTCTTCCGATAACTTTTCCTCATAATGTCTTTCTTCTTCTTTCATATCTGACGCACCCAAATGTGTCGTGTCCTTCTTCTTCTTGTTTGGTTTTCCGGCGGTTGGCGGCCTATTCTTCGCATTACCGCCACCTTCTGTTTCGTGGATGGGACAACACTCAGTTTGTGAAAAAGTCTGCGGTCTTTTCTTTGCCTCCTCACAGGCAGGAGAAGTCTTCTTCGAGAGTTCCTGTTAGCTGCTGCAGCCGATGCTGCTGTCTTTGGTGCCCCCTGTGGGTCTGGGGGAGACGCTGATGGTGGTTTGTGGCAGAGACGATTTTTGGCCAAATGAAACAGACAGAAGTTTTCTCGGAAAAAACAGACAAACAAGAAACACAAACAAGTGTGTTAATTACCATACCAAACCAATGATTAATTACAATTCAAAATAAACCTATGGAATAATTAATATTAACATTTTAAACATTAGATTCTGAAAACCGAATTCTGCATTCAACTGCTATCCTAAGCCCTATTTTTCCAAAAGTATAATGCTCTCTAAGATCATTCTAACTTTTATATCACCAAAATGTAGGGAAAAAAACTTGTCCAGATAAAAAATAAAAAATAAAATAATGCCTCTTTATAATCTAACTCAAAGTTCTGTGATCCTATGACTCCATGTCAGTAACATTATCGTGTGTATAAATGTAATTTTCTACAAAAAATTCTTTCTTCACGAGAGAGAGAAAGACAGAGAGAGAGAGAGAGAAAGACAGAGAGAGAGAGAGAGAGAGAGAGAGAGAGAGAGAGAGAGAGAGAGAGAGAGAGGGGAGAGAGAGAGGACAGAACGAGGGAGGGGAGGGGCCTCCCGAACAAAGGAAGCATGGAGTCAAATACTTTCCTCGTTTTTCTCGTGACAAGGTTTTAAATCAGTGGTAAAAGTTTCTCTCACGTCAAACGACACTTTACATTTTATCCTTAAATACGTCAGTAATGGAAAACATTACCATTTGCTACATGATTAATGTATCGAGAGTTCCAGCAGAATCTTTTTTTTTTCCTGATTCTCTGTAACTATCGAAACATTACATCAGAATACAAGAGAAAAACTCCCAGACTGATCTTTTGTCATTTCTTCACATGAAACTCGTATACTACAGCCAAGTGGCTCTCTTTTTTTCTCATTAATCAGATCGTTAGTATCAGAATCCACATTTTAAATACTTGGCTTTTTTCTGTTTAAATTAATTGTACCCTTTTCCCCGCCCCCGGGGGATATGGAGTTTTTATTATCCTATAACTTCTGACCCTAACTGTCCCTATTTTCTAATCCTATTTATCTAAACACTTGTGCCTCTTTTGCACTTATAAACCCTGTGGCTTTCCTGTATATTCTTTTTTTGAGGGGACCAATGCTTCCCTCAAGGTTCAAAAACGTCGAAAAACCTGACTATTGTTCTATCGCGTCCGATAGAACGCCCGTCACGGCGGTCGTCTGGCCACGCTGCAGTCCGCCGAGCCGAATTCTCTCTCTCTCTTCCATTTAAAACAATGTGCAGATTTTCAAAAGTAACGATCCGCTTACCTCTTTCGAAGAGAAGAGAGAAGAGAAGAGAGAATTCTCCCGGCCGACGGACCCAGTCTATATCTGAGCTCATCTCTGTCTTGCCCCTGCACCATCACGTCGGGGGTCTCCAAATGAAGTCAATAATTCCCTTGACTGACGTGTTCGAGTTGATGCAGAGGCATGACAACAGATCTCCAAGTTTTAACATCTGTATTTAATTATCTTTAAAATCAGATACAGAAATTCCAACAAAGAGGGCTCCTAAAACTATGCATGTCCCTCTCTGGCCCTCGGCTGATTCTTCTGTTTCTGCCCAAGCCAGAGCCTTATTAGTCGATGTTCAGGGAGCAGGGGGCGTGTCGTATCAGGGAGGTCTTGGGCCCAGGGTCCGATGACGTCACAGGTCTGGGACTGGTCTGGCCCCTGGTCCTGGTCTGGACCCGGTCTTGGTCTTCCATCTCCACCTGAGCAAACAATGGCCCCACCCCTGCGGCGCCTGATTGTGTTGGACTTTGCTCTCGCCCAAAGTGAGAGAGAGAGAGCCCTGCTTATACTTGGAGTCAATAATTGTCTAGTTTGTATACTATCTTGTGTCCTTGGGGTTTTTCCTGAGTGCACAGAGGTCTTTTTTGGCTATGATGTCCAAATGGTCAAATATTAAAATATACAACATTTTAATTATACAACAATAGGGAAGTCTGGGCGTCTCTGCTTAGACTGCTGCCCCCGCGACCCGGCAACGGATGAAGCGGAAGAAAATGGATGGATGGATGGATGTTCATGTTATTGTTCAAATCAAGGCATCTTTTAAAAAACTGAAAAAAACTGCACTGAAAAAAATAATAATCTCAAAATGGACTGTAAACCATTTCGTTCTGTTTTTCTGAGATGCTCATTAGGTAGTTTTTACAAGCTGTGCGCCAATTTGATTTGATTTATTCGAGCTTACATATTTACAATGTCATTTAAACATGTTCATGCATTGTTATATGTATTTACATTAAACAGAAATACATGTTAGTAATAATACATAACATATGTCAAAAAAATTATACAAAGCTCGAAAAGGGAGTGAGAAGAAGTAAACGTATGTACTCCCCCTCCTCTCATTACAACACAAGCAGTTGCGATATTTTATATATACATACATTTACACAACACTGTCAATCAATTACAAGAATGTAATGCCAATTATCAACATTATGACGAATGATACAAATACAATACAATTTACTCTTGTACAGCCCTAAATCACAACAGAAGTCATCTCAGAGACTTAACAAAACCTTTGAAATCACCAACACAGATCAGAAAATCAGCAGTTAAGACACATGTCATATAGAACACATATAGTGTTGATCCATATGGTTAGACCAGTGTCCATGCATGCTGATGAGTGTCCATGCATGCTGTAGAATGTTAGAGTGTCTTGGATAATCACCAATGCTTTAAATAAATGCCTTGAATATTCTAAGTTCCCCCTATATAGTAAATTAAAGGCTATTTCAAATGGGCACTAGTCTTTATGGGCAATACACTAGTAGTAAAGAAAACACATTTGAGAATTCAGTATAAAGGCTTTAACAACTGCAATACTTGTCCTCAGGTGTCGGAGCGGTGTGACTATGTTTATGTGAACGGGAAAGAGAGCCGTGGGAGCCGCAAAGTGCTGCTGAACTTCACCTACAGTTTCCTGAGCACACAGCTGGAGATGAGCGTGTGGATGCCCCGCCTCCCTCTCGTCATCGATGTGGCCGACCCGGAGCTCAGCCAGATCAAAGGCTGGAGAGTGCCCCCATCTCTGGGCAGCAGGAGGTAAGCATACAACTTCCATGGTCCCTTTGCCCTTAATCAGATTCAGATTCATTTATTTGCCATTTGCAGTAAAACCACATTGGAAAAACTGTGCAAGACTACCCCAGTGTGCTATGTAAATGTAATGTAAATTGTATACGTAAGGGATAACATACATTACGCAGGTCATTATCGGAAAATAAGTACCAACAGGGCGAAGCGGACCCCGACGCGCAGCTTATTATACGGCTTTATACCAACAGAACACACAACATAAACTTCAGTCCACTTTTAGGAATGCCGAAAGGTTTATTTAATGACAGAAAATAAAATAGTTCCCAAAGGCTTTCCCGTGGCTATGCTAGCAACAGTTAGGCTGCAACTTCCAAACTAGAACTCTCTGGAACTGCATGAAAACTGAACAAAGAATTCTGAACATCAGTGGTGAGTGACCCAAACATAAACTAAACCTAGATCCATAATTCGATCCTCTGCAAATGTGTCCGAAAATGTGCCGTATCTTAAAATGTGCCGGTATCTACTTCCGGGTTTTTCGGGATCGCCTTTTCTCGCATTACATCAGTGTTTTTGTCATGAAAACGTAAATAGAAAATTCTGAAAACTTCCGTGCACTTGTATTAAGACTGGATATGTATAATTCACTCTCCGATTAACATTTCATTGCGTTGATTGATTGGCATTTGCGTTTATTGAGCGGCCGGAACTACTTCTGGGTTTTTCACGATCGCTTTTTGACGCAGAGAAATAGTATTTTTGTCATGAAGACAAGACCAGAAAATTCTGAAAATTTCCGTGCACGTGTGTGAAGAATGTATATGTATAAGTATTCTCCGATTAACATTTAAGTGTGTTGATTGAGCGTGGCTAGCTCAGGAGTGGCCGGAACTACTTGCGGAGTTATCCACGCATTTGAAAGACAAGCAGAGAGTGCGTTGCCAAAGGGCAGCGGTCATTATTGTTTTGAGAGGTCCGTTATAGAAAATAATGACCGGTAGAACGTTTTGAAATTACATTCAAATCAATGGAGCGTTCTACTGCTGCTCTGAGGAGCCGTATAATACATTTTTATATTATAGTGGCTCTATGTAATTAATAGTCTGGATACAGATATTTTAGGTAATTTGACGGTCTGTACAGTTATTTCAAAATAAACCTGGTTAATTTTCCACTAGCAGATTAGAAAGTCAAACCGACCGTGTCAAACCGGCATCAGAAAAAATGGTATGATAATGCTTTGATATAGGACTGGGCGACATGTTGTGATACAGTTTTCAGCCATAAGTAATTCACTCTACTGCCCGGATGTGATAGGTCGAGAAGCCTACATCCCCCAGAATGCCGTGCGCTTCTGACTCGACTTTACTTCCTGTGTTTTCTTCCAAATTTTTTCTAATGAAGTGAAGTTGAAATAATATCTTGATCAGACAAGACCAAATGTAAGACATAAGTACATGTTTACTAAGGGTCTGGGGAAACATTTGGACTTCCATCTGCCACCATATTTATACCAGGGGTTTTTAAGGTCTGAATGAGGGCTTGTTTGTAATTAGTAATCTAAAAGAGTCATTACAATTACAATCAAACTTGTATTGCAAACTTTCTGCCTGTGTAAATATTAAATACAAATGGAATCCATCTGCTGGGGTTCAGATAGAATAGGTAAGAGCCAAAACCAAGAGCTAAATTTTTCAAACTGTCAACCTAAATGAGAGACTAATTCTAAACCTGAATAGTATAAATATCATGTTCATTGTGTTTTTAATTAAGAATAACAAAATTTTAACCTGGAAAAGGGCAAACATGTTATGTAAATGTTTCCCGTTATCTGGGGACACATATCAAATATGTGAATGTAATTATAATATATTTTTTTATAAGATATTACATACTGTCCCTTTAAATACTAGACTCCCAAAGTTACACAAGCTAAATATGGCGATGACTTTAAACTGCAGATGTGCCGTCTGATAAAGTTCAGTTACCACCAGAGGTACACGTTAGGGAAACACTGTTGAAGAGTATCAAGCCGATCTCAGTGACCCACATCCCACACGATGGCACTCTAACACAAAGACCCACTAATACCCCGCCACCACCAGATCACTCACTAATGCCCAGCCGTTCCAATTCATCAAGACAAACGAACAAGGTTTTATGTCCACTTTCTCTTTATGAGCAATTTAGAATAGATTGTGACTATATAAAAATGCCCAGTCATCACCCCTCCGGCAGTGTGCAGCCTTCGCTTAGAGCCATTAGTCTGGTCATTATAGTGGAACACCTTGGTCGGCCCGTTCCCGTCTGATACAAGCATGAGTCGCTCCTCTGCTGTGGTCCCTTCACGAGTCCCGTCTTGGTTATGATGGCAACAGGACAACATTGTCGTCACTGACCGGTGTAGGGGCCAGGGAGAGTGGGCGGTGAGCAGAGGTCAGGAACGAAGCCAAGCCATTGGGCCACAGCATGTTAACCTGTCAGCCCGTTTTTCTACCTGAGCGGCTATGCCTCATTAAGCCTTATAGAGGCTGTCGGTGTCAGTCCCTGCAGTCGACTGGTGCAGCGCAGGAAGAAAGGAGAGAGCAAGACTGCAGCTGAAAAATACATCACACACAAGTCTGCTAAAGATATGAAGGAAAGATATGAGGTATGGAATGGCCTCTGAACTAGTAGAAAGAGAACATCATTTGAAGAATTATGTGAAAAAATAAACTGCATTGTCTCTTTTAGGGTTTAGGGACATTGCATCCACAGCTATCACAATCTTGTCTTCTATACTACTGGTTAATTTATCTTTGAATTAGGGCAAGGGCTAGAAAAATTTGTGTCTTCATTCATTTTTTTATTTTAACGCGTTCAAATAAATCAACGTATCGATTAATAAATCCGTTGCTCTCTCCTGGCTGCGGCTGCGAAGCCGCAGAAGAAGACAGACTTCCTGTTCCTGTGGCTAATGCTACAATCTTAGCTGGCAATGAAAACATCAACAGAACCCTGGATCTATAATAATAACTGGATAGGGTATTACCAGCTTATAGCTGTCCCACCCATGGGCACAGGGGGCGCTGTGGTACTGCAGAATAAATTCAATGTGGGCTACCAAGACATTTTCTCCATAGAACTCAATGTAAACTAAAACAGCTCGACTTCAGCTGACAGAGAACCTACAGCTTTCATAAAGATCGGATTTTGTGGGGATTTTAGTGTCCCTTGTCAAAACGCGGCCGGGCCCCTCTGTGCACGTGCATGAGAGCCACACATGCGTATTAACCGGGAGGACCAGACGATGCCCAAATATAGGCGAGTTCAACCGGGAGTTCATATGTCAGCGCCCGTGATGTCCCATGCGCTACTGAGCATTCACAAGCCATTCATTTGAATAGGGCGCCATCTTGGAACACCGGGGCTTGAACAGAACCCACCCTTACGAGTGATGCTGTACAAGCAAAGCATCCGTGTGCCTTATTGTCAAGTGGATCACGGCAAACAACTTGATAGAAGTTTGGTGCAAGAGGGGACCCGCTTTCCAAACAGATCAATGACTAGAAAACAATGCAATTGCGTGTTGTCTGGCTAGAAATTGCCGTCCTACAACATGATGAGGGATTGTGTCAGGAAGTTCAAATAAAGCTAAACTCACTTACTCACACTATTTCAGAAGATGTCTACATGTCTAGACTCTAAAAAACCGAAAAATCCTGAAGACAGATGGTATTGTTCACACATTGTTCACATTGCATAATAGCATTTTTTTTTTCAAGTTGTATTACATACATTATATATATATATATATATATATATATATATTATATATACATATATATATGATAGATAGATACTAGAACTGCAATTAATTTGTGGTAATTTAGTAAATCGTGATTAATCACAATTCATTTTTAAAAGATATGAGTTTTTTTTTTTTAAATCAATTCCCGTCCCTACTTTAAATAAATGAACTAGTAGTATACAGCTTCGACAATTTTTAAATGAAATAATGTTTGCATATTTTAGTACACATAGACTTTATATCTAGTTGAAATAAGAGCTTAAGAAGCCTTCTCAGGTGAAAATAACATGTATATGACTCATGTAAAAGATTTATATCCCAAGAGAACATTCTTGGCTGTGGACTTTTTGATCTGGGAACCACCGTTTGCTACATGAGAAATATATTTTCATGAGAAATATATTTTCATGAGAAATATATTTTCATGTATCATAAATGTGCTGTGAAATGTTGCCTTTTAAAGAAACCAAAAGAAATAGTGGCTGCAGTCTGAAAACTGCTTAAATGTGTTTTAAAGATGTGACTTTCTGGAGGTCAGCACAGAGACGCTCTGACATTAATAACACTTTTTTGACCATTAAAGCCAAACAAGGAGATAAAAATCACTACTGTGCAAATCCATTGCATAGAAGGTTGTGTTATTTTAGCATTTCCAAGCAACACAATACACTAGTATAGTGTGTTACGTTATATCCACTTTACTTAGTTAAAGTTAGTATTGAAAATTTATGTTTGCCTTGATTGATTGATTGAATACTTAATGTTGAGCATGCTCCTGTTCTGACATTTGAGCAGTGATAGTGTTGTTTGGACCGTTTGTTAAACACATGAAAGAATAAATCTATATCTCATATTTATTAAACATATTTACCTCCACTATGCATTTTAATTATTTTCATAAGCAGTTGCGATTAGGTTTTATATATATAAATAATATAAAATTATTTATATAAGCTGCCCAAATGTTATGTTACTAAAACGTCACGCCAGTATCAGGGCTCTAGCCCAGATGCACCACTGTTCATACTGATGGTGCACTTAGGTTGTGCACATGCTTGCAGGTGCTGGATCCAACTTTGGAAGTGCTGGAGCATGTTCCGGCGTGTTCCGGCTCTAATTAAGCACTGTTTGATAAGGGACAAAAGGATGTGAGAATCACGTTATCGTATCATAGGTGAAACTAATATCATTGGTTCCACCCTCACAGGTTTGAAGAAGGGACCATGGAGGACCACAGTTATGTAAAAGAACTACCCGAACAACAATATTTAGGACATAATTATGCAAAATTCTAGAAATTGACGTCATAACATCAAACTGTCAACATAGCAAACCACACGCACCGAATGGCAGAGTTAAAACATTGTGTAGTTAACCCTTTAAGCGCCAAAGTCGCAATATTGCGACAAGCAACATTGCTCACTTAAACAGGCTGTATCTAAAAATGTGGTGCAGAATCTTGTTAATACTTTTCACCAGGGGTTAGTGGACATGTGTGCCTGTAATATGAGCAACATTTGTGGGTGTGGTTATATTGAAAGTTTTTGAGTAAATTGAGTTCGTAAAACACCTGCGGCGCAGCGGCGCGGAAGCGAAGCAGCAGCGGTAGAGCTGAGAGGAGCGAGAGCAGAGCAGAGGGAGAGAGGGTTTTTTATTTTACTCACGAGGTCTTCAGTACCAGAGAAGTACTTGGTCTGGTACTGGCTCACTCAGAATCAGAGGAGGAAGACACACAGGTGTCCAGTGAAGCAGACACGGACATTATTGGTGACGGGGAGACCGCGCTCCATAGTCCACAATCAGCCTCTGTGCAGCGGCTGCTTGTCCTCCGTGTGGCCGCGGTAGAAGCATTCTGTGAACGCCAAGCAGGGGCTGTGGTCGAGGGGACAGGGGCATCATAACACCGGGCATGTGGGAGAAAGTAGGGAGACGCGGGAGAAGTCGCGGGGGAGCCGCGGGAAAAAGCACATCGCTTATCGCGTTTACTGCCTTTACCAACAGCGATGATGAGGATGAAGGCAGTTCTTGAGAGAAAATAATCCACAAAAGTGGACCAGAAGTGTTGAAAAACCTGTTGTTTATTGTTGAGACGATCTGACATGTTCTGTGCCCATTCATTTCATCTCTCTGTTTCTACACGATAAATCCTGGAGCCTCATTTCCACTGAGAAAAATAGTATGCCCACTACTTCTTAGAAAGGGAAATATTGAAACCAATCTCCAGATTTCATGACTGTAAACTATAAAGAGTGCAGTCTTGATCACTGAAGGTCTTTGAAAATAATAAAATTCCATATGGCTGCGAACCAGTGCTAAAACATTATGTATAATCTGGATCAGGGAATTTATTTCTATCCCAAATTCATTTCATACTAAAGATATATTTCACATTTACTGTTTATAGTATTCCCTGATCTCAAATAACTCCCAAGCTACAGCTTTTTGAAGTCTTTATACAATAATTAACATTTTCCAAAATGGCCGCCACCTTGATGACGTCAGAATATGCAAATTAGATGACGAATCAACTTCCATCCCAAAGTTTGGTTCAGACTGAAGATATTTCTAATTTACAGTATGCCTTTATCTCAAACCATTTTAAAGTTATAGCCTTTTGAAATATTGAAATCAAAATTGTACATTTTCTTGAAAAAACTCTGGCGCCTAAAGGGTTAACATTGTGTAGTTTGTACACAACAGACTCACACGTGAACAATACATAACTTTTTCACACCGACAGTAACTTTCGTCGCACTGATAGTAATGAGAACGAGCAGAATCTACAACACTGGCCTCAGCATGTTCTGACCCGGTCTGAGCATTAGTCCAACTATGTTACCAGTTTTTAGTAATTCAGGGACAAACCTCAAATATGCAACACACACAGAATCCAAGAATACTTTATCAGCAGCGTCAGTGAATGCTCTCTTTTTTTTTCCTGGTGATGCAGAGAGGGGGATGCGGTTAATGCTTTTAGCCCCAGTTCTGCAGCGGCTGTGTACATGTTCTGCAGCGGCTGTGTACATGTTCTGCAGCGGCTGTGTACATGTTCTGCAGCGGCTGTGTACATGTTCTGCAGCGGCTGTGTACATGTTCTGCAGCGGTTGTGTACATGTTCTGCAGCGGCTGTGTACATGTTCTGCAGCGGCTGTGTACATGTTCTGCAGCGGCTGTGTACATGTTCTGCAGCGGCTGTGTACATGTTCTGCAGCGGCTGTGTACATGTTCTGCAGCGGCTGTGTACATGTTCTGCAGCGGCTGTGTACATGTTCTGCAGCGGCTGTGTACATGTTCTGCAGCGGCTGTGTACATGTTCTGCAGCGGCTGTGTACATGTTCTGCAGCGGCTGTGTACATGTTCTGCAGCGGCTGTGTACATGTTCTGCAGCGGCTGTGTACATGTTCTGCAGCGGCTGTGTACATGTTCTGCAGCGGCTGTGTACATGTTCTGCAGCGGCTGTGTACATGTTCTGCAGCGGTTGTGTACATGTTCTGCAGCGGCTGTGTACATGTTCTGCAGCGGCTGTGTACATGTTCTGCAGCGGCTGTGTACATGTTCTGCAGCGGCTGTGTACATGTTCTGCAGCGGCTGTGTACATGTTCTGCAGCGGCTGTGTACATGTTCTGCAGCGGCTGTGTACATGTTCTGCAGCGGCTGTGTACATGTTCTGCAGCGGCTGTGTACATGTTCTGCAGCGGCTGTGTACATGTTCTGCAGCGGCTGTGTACATGTTCTGCAGCGGCTGTGTACATGTTCTGCAGCGGTTGTGTACATGTTCTGCAGCGGCTGTGTACATGTTCTGCAGCGGCTGTGTACATGTTCTGCAGCGGCTGTGTACATGTTCAGCGGCTGTGTACATGTTCTGCAGCGGCTGTGTACATGTTCTGCAGCGGCTGTGTACATGTTCTGCAGCGGCTGTGTACATGTTCTGCAGCGGTTGTGTACATGTTCTGCAGCGGCTGTGTACATGTTCTGCAGCGGCTGTGTACATGTTCTGCAGCGGCTGTGTACATGTTCTGCAGCGGCTGTGTACATGTTCTGCAGCGGCTGTGTACATGTTCTGCAGCGGCTGTGTACATGTTCTGCAGCGGCTGTGTACATGTTCTGCAGCGGCTGTGTACATGTTCTGCAGCGGCTGTGTACATGTTCTGCAGCGGCTGTGTACATGTTCTGCAGCGGCTGTGTACATGTTCTGCAGCGGCTGTGTACATGTTCTGCAGCGGCTGTGTACATGTTCTGCAGCGGCTGTGTACATGTTCTGCAGCGGCTGTGTACATGTTCTGCAGCGGTTGTGTACATGTTCTGCAGCGGCTGTGTACATGTTCTGCAGCGGCTGTGTACATGTTCTGCAGCGGCTGTGTACATGTTCAGCGGCTGTGTACATGTTCTGCAGCGGCTGTGTACATGTTCTGCAGCGGCTGTGTACATGTTCTGCAGCGGCTGTGTACATGTTCTGCAGCGGTTGTGTACATGTTCTGCAGCGGCTGTGTACATGTTCTGCAGCGGCTGTGTACATGTTCTGCAGCGGCTGTGTACATGTTCTGCAGCGGCTGTGTACATGTTCTGCAGCGGCTGTGTACATGTTCTGCAGCGGCTGTGTACATGTTCTGCAGCGGCTGTGTACATGTTCTGCAGCGGCTGTGTACATGTTCTGCTTCTTGGATCATCGTGGTTTTAAGCTCCCACAGACGTTAATCCTCCATGCGTTTGTAAAACTATACTTTATAATAGATCCATGGTCAAACTCATTACAGCTCTGTGCACAGGTGCGGCTTCAGAGCTTGTTTACATGTCGCCTCCACGATACTGTGTCAAGTGACCAAGACGTATAGAGAGATTCAGGTATTAATGAAACTAAAGGATTTTTTCCTTGGCAGTCTGGTGAATGACTGCGAGTTGTGGACAACTATCAAAGACAACATATTGTCTTTCCAAGGCTTCTGTAGTACCCTGGACTAAAATTTATGATCTCAACTCAGTGAACTTTTAAGTAATTTGAGCCACGTGAATAGCTATTTTTTTTAATACAGCCATATAATGGTTTTTAATAAGATTTTAAAGCACAAACAAGTAGTGTCTCTTAATGCCACCGGTAAATATAACCATCATATGTCTAGCAGCACAACCACTGAGCAAACTCTGTCTTTCAGATATGAGCGAGTGACGGACGACCAGCCAGAAGCAGCAGAGAGGCCAGAGGGCTGCGTGCCTCAGTACCAGAGCTCCAGTGTCCGCGTGCTCACTCACTTTGTGGCCGAGGCAGATGACAGCGGAGATGAGGACGGGCCAGGACAGCCACACTTCCTGCTTGGCTCTGATTGGCAGGTGGAAGTCACGCAGCTCGTGAAAGACTTCCTGAAAGTGGAGCAGCCGACTGTAGTCCAACTGACGGATGCTCAGATCCTGATCGGGATGAACCCTGGTACTACCAAGATCAAGGTATGCCGTTATGAACACTTCTCAGATGTTTAAATATAGTTAAGATGCAGTAAGCAATTTTGTTAGCTTAGCCATAGCACCAAACCACTCCCCCCTTCCCCTCGTCTCTCCACCAAACCAAAACAATTTTCTGTTCAGTCATTTAAAGAGCGACTAAACACCTGTGCCCAGCCTTACTCCGCCCACATGAACATTTGAAATTTTTCTCTAAAAAGGGCGTTGCCTGGAGGACCAAGGGACAAGAAGGGGGGCTTAGAGTTGGGCGTGGTCTGGGCTGTGATTGACAGCTCACTTGTCACGCACAAAAAAAACAGACAGTTGTCATTGCTGCTTAAAGCAATAGTTTACAGACCAGAAAGTCTCCACCCTTCCACCCTTGTTTACACACTAAGATAATTGTAAAGCTACACAGCTGAACCTAAGTCACTGAATTATCTCAGCAGCGGTGATTGTCAACTCATGTAATTAAATTTTAATCCACTAGATGTCGCCAGAATACTCCAACCTGCTGCTGGGGCGTGTGTAAGAGTTGGATGGGTTTATAAACTGTAATCGGAGCGAGTGAGGAACCAGCGTCTCTTCAGGATCTAACCCTCGGAGGCGCCTTTCCTTGCTCTATAACGCAGACTCCCTAGTAGGGCCTGGCTTTTGGTAGCGCTAGTCCCGACCTGCCTCGTGCTGGGTCTAAGGCTAGCTAAGTTTTTGTCCCTGCCTAACGTTTTTTCCCCTTGGTGTGGCTAATCCGTAGAGAAGCAGAAGCTCTAGGTGCGATATACCAAAATCAGTCTACTTTTACTACTCACCTTTAGCCTAGGGCCGCCCTGCCCTGTCCAAGCGTTCTTCAAGGAAGGTTTTCAGAAAGTGTGAAGCGGAGTCGGCGAGCTGTCTTTCGTGAGTCGGGGCGACTCTTTTATTCAAAGCCAAGCAAGCAAATCGTCAATCCAAGTTTACAGAGTTACAAAGGTCTCGCAACACAAGTCACTCTCACAAGGACCCCTGAATGAAAGCCTCCGGCTGCTCTCGTCTGCGCTGCGCGCTGCCCGACTGTCTGACTCTCTCCGAGTCTTCCTTTTTATAGCGCATGCAGCCTTCAAGCAGCGGAAAGCCCCCTCAGCATTAAGGCTGACCTCATTCAGGAAGTACATGTACATATATGGGCAAGGAAGGAAATGCATATATGGTCATGGCAGGAAGGATGTACATATTTGGTCCTCCTGCTTGTATGGACTGTCCCCCAGTTAGGACAGCGGCTGCGCAGAGAAATGAACTTTTACCCAGTTATTTGAACTTTCCTCCAGTTAGCAGAGAGACTGCGCAAAGGAATGAACTTTTACCCAGTTACTTGAACTTTGGCCCAGTTCTTAAGCATATATGATCTTTCCTTGCCGTGAACTTTAACACACTTTAATGAACTTTAATCTAGTTAGCATAATGTTACATAAATCACCTTAAATCACATTACACTTTATTAAATCACATTACTGACCATCAAGATCACTATTTAACGCATTTTCCTTACGTTTCACACATGATTATAAAATGTTATTTTGTATTACATCACAAAATCATAATTTTGTATTACATCCTCCTTTTGAAACTTAAGGGAATCACATAACGTCCATTACTCAGAGTCCTCAGGGAGCCGCTTCGATCCGTAAGCTATAGGCTCCGGCATAGTTAATTCCGGGCACTCTTCCTCCAGCAGCCGGTTAAACTCCCTCATGAAGTCCTCATAGCCATAGGAGGGTATGAGGTCAGTGGACTGCACAGGTATTGGTTCCCCGGATTCAGGTAGGGCCACAGGATCAGCTACCACCGGGACCTCAGACTCAAGCATCGTAACGTTCATAGCCTCAGGTTCGGGAAATGCCATAGCCAAATCAGGGGACACATCATCTTCTATTGGAGCACACCAGGGCGATGGGCTCAGAGGCTCAGGGATCGGAGGTGTTGGCGATGGAACCGGGCCTCGGAAGTTAAAGTAAGGTTCTTCATCCAGTTTAGGCATTGGCTGGACAACTGAAACCTGCCTCTCAAAGTTCATTGAAGTGTCCATGGGATCATGCCTCACCCTCTTAGCAGGGGCGGGGTAAGGAGAGCCCCTGGCCTTTTTATCAGCAAAGGGATAAGAAGAATCCCTTGGGCTCCTCTCGGGGTAGACGCGCCCTGGTCCATGCCGTCCCTCAGCAGCCAGCATCCGGAGAAGTTCTTTACTCAAGTTATCATGGATACCGTCACAGTCCCTTGGCTTCTTAACCGGGGACTTTCGTTGAAGTTTCGGCTCAACATCGCTAATCAGATTGCGGGATCCCCTTGGCTCCTTAGTAGAGATGAACCCGTGGAAGTCTCCTGACCTCCCAGCAGGGGCAGTATGAGGGGAGCCCCTATTCTTCTTGAGCGTTGCCTCCCACTTACGAGCGGCTCTCCTCGGGTCTGTGGCTCGCTCGATAGACCTGGCTCTCCTCAGTTCGATTGCATGCTCCACAGGTTCAGCCTTGTATAGTGGGGGGCCTGCCCTAGCATGGGCGTCCCCTAGGGCCGACAGCTCCTCAGCTCTCCTGGCAGTAGTGATGATCAGGTGCCCGTTGTAGGCGTTGATCCCGCCCGCAGTGATGTGGTCTCTCCACGCCGGTCTACCTCCGCCCTGGTAATCAAGTGGGCCCTCAGACCAAGGCAGTCCCACCTTGCTTGTAAGGACAGAGGGCAAGCACACCAACTGCCCGTGCACCATCACAGGCCTCAGCTTCACGGTGCAGTCCGATCCTCTGGTCATGCTGCACCGCCGGATTGGTCCCTGCAGAGCACGACCGATGTTACCGCCTTCGTGCTCCAGGTCAGCAAAGGAGCAGCTTGGCTCCTCATGCGCCGTGAAGATGCGTTGTCCTCTCAGCGTGAATGGCTCCTTCGTCTTCCAGTCCATCAGTCTCAGCTCCACCAGCTCCACCATGGCTACGCCCATCAGATCTTTGCGTATAAGGCTTTGGCCCTCCTTAATCACTGTCAAGCCAATGTGACCAGGATGCCAATGCAGGTCACGCTCCACTAATGAGTATGGCAGGCCCTTACTATCTAGGCTCATAACTACACATTTGAGCCCTTTCTTAGTTTTTACAAGGATACCCTTGGTTTGCACAAAGGTACCTTTAAATCCCTCCTTCTGAAACCTATTGCAAAGAGCAGGTTCCTCCTGCATCAATGCAATAGCCTTCCTGGAGCTATGTGGCTTGATATTAACCCACTTTTGGTACTTCTTTTCAATTTGCGCTCTCATTGTAGAGGAGAAAGCTCCGGTCGGATGGCTCTCCAATCGAACCCTTTTCCCCAAATGAGATGGTTTGATATCTATATCCAGCCAATACATTTGTTCTGTTGGCTGTCCGATAACTCTTGTTCCCTTGGGGATGTTATCAAAGGTGAGAGTGGAGATTCGTTTCCCCATCTGTAAGGTCAATTTGGATATAATTAGTCATGTTTCCAAACCCTACCCTATCTCTCGTTTCCCCGGGGATTCTATTCCTATTATTATTTTTCCTTTTATCTATTTATTTATTTATTAATCTTCAATTTCTATACGCTTGAAGACTCGCGCCTAAGCGTAGTCAACCTAAGGCTTCCGGAAAGCTGTCTTTTAAGTGGAAACAGGACCCTTCTATAGGCCACTCCCACTATATACCCTACATATCCATACATGATAGGGTGAGTTGATATTCCACAGCCGACCATCACTGCCGTTAACGCCAGTGTGATCAGCCATTGAGCCCCTAAATTTAGACAAGCCCTTCTGTTCTTTCCTTTCAATTGCAGGAAAAACCAGAAAAGCGCTATCAGACCTAAAATTAAGTATATCACCAGCCCTACAAGCTCTGCAGCCAAGGCACTGTGCAGAGCTTGATCTACAAATCGTTCTAGAAGTACTGTGTAGACCGCACCGAGAGCATAAATTGAAAGCAACATCATCCACCACCGATTAGTGTTAATCGGTAGTGGCAGATGAGCCAGAAACGCCAATACTATCTGGGTGTGAATGGGACTGATGCATAAATACATCAATCTCACCACTCCCGTTCCTATGACTAACGCGGAGGTCACTGCCACCTTAATCCAGCCTACATTCTTCTCTCTAGGTAACAAAGTCAGAAGGAGGATTAGAATTCCCAGGGAAATTAGCTGCCATGATTCAGTCATAATTACCGAGGATGTACAGCTAAGTCCCAGGGTGAAGTTGGTGAAGCCAGCCATGGTTCTTGGAGCCGTCCTTGGATGAAGAGATTGGTACAGTGCGGCAGGTGGTTTCTTCCAGAGAAGAATGACCAACCCCTCTCGCGTCCCTTCTCTTATACCCACGAACAGGCTCCTCCCACCATCGGTGGCATCGCCCCCTCCTCCTCCTTGACCGCTAATTTCCTTATAAGGTTAACCGCTATTCCGGCGACCAGCATTGTCATAACTAATCCTAAGATAATGGTTTTATACATCCTGATCCTATCTATATTGAAATGCGACTCATCCGACTTCGTGTGCAGTTCTCCCGAGTAGTCTCCTGGGAGGCCGACCATCTGGACCGAATCTTTCCATGTCCCTTCTTTTGTTCATGTAGCGTGTCCAAACGACCCGCCATCTTCCCGGTCCTGCTTTGTGATCTTCCCGCTGGAGAACGCATTCCTCATTCGCGCCTGCCAGACAGCAATTTCTGGTAATTGAAACCAGGACCCAGTAGGACATCCTCCTCAAAGATTCTCCTCTGCACACCGTTCCGTTAATTACAGATTCTCTGCGTTCATAGCTTTCAGTCTCATAATCGATAATCCCATATACAACTACTATGAGTAATGTAGCTGAAAGCACAATCAAATTCTTGTTGTCCCCGGTAGTTGGCTTCTTCACTCCTCTTTCCTTTGTCCCTGCAGTTGATTTCTTCATATTCAAACCTGCAGCAAAGGGTTTTTGTTACTCATGATATTTCTTCTTTGCTTCAATGTCTCTTTTCCTCTTTTTGTTTTCTTCTCTTTCTTTTTCTCTAGTATCTCTTCTCTCAACTCTTTAATTGTCTCTTTTAGGAGTCTGTCTTCTCTTCGCTGCCTTGCTTTCTTATAGGCCCGAAAGGGAAGCCAACAACACCTGAAGATATTGCAGGTTTTCTGTAGTATCCCTATTATTATCAATGTGACTATAACTACAACTATGCCTACGATCCAACGCCATGCATAGCTGAGCCAATCTATCAGCCACTCCCATACTCCAAAGATGGCCCGACCAACTGTCTTAGCTGTTGTGACCACAGCTGTGGCCACCTCTGTAGCCACTCCATTTATCACGGTCCCTGTGGCAAATGTCGTTAGGATGGCTATTCCTTTTACTTGATTTCCTAATGTCCAGAACGGTGAAGTAATCATGGTATAATCACACTCGTGTAGCTTATAGAATTCGCCTTCGGATTTATATTCTGTTCCATTTCCACCGGACGTTTGTAGATGATTACATGGTATCCTTTTGTCTATATGGAAGGGATCTTCTGGTGCACCTGGAGATGAGCATGCCACCTCCAATGCCCAGTCATTATACCCCAGTCTTCATGTCCCCGCAGCACTCGGGGAGCCATTCTATCTCTGATACAAACGTGTTGGGCGATATACTTCATTCTGTGGTACATCAGAGTCCCAGGATCAACTCCCTGAAGGTGTCCCACTGGTGCTGAATGATACGGCCAGTGAGCCACTCGATAATGTATTAACGGGTTCACACAGTTCTGTTCTCTGTTGATCAGGAGTTGTATTGCTGATGCGATGGCACTTGTGTCATTCACGAACTGTTGCTTTGTTTCCGCTATCGTAGTCCAGCCTTCGGCGGCCCAATTCTTTCGGTCAAGGGAGTGTATTTGCTCCCAATCGCTCATGTTTTTGTCTGGTATAAGCAGAGCTATAGGTTCACCATTTTTGCTCAAACTTCTTTCGCTATCGAATGTCAGGATTCTTTTCTCTGAATTCTCTCTTTCCATCTCTTTCCTTCCATCTTAATTGTCTCCATTGGTCATCTGGTTGTACGGGGATTTTTCGAACGGCTATGTATTTCCTGGCCACCGTGACATGCATGGATCTCTCTGTTGTCCAGAGCACTGCCATATGGTGGGGAAAGGGCGACTGCATAGCTGACCTCCATTTCCAACCTTGATCCTTGACTAATCGTTTGATGGTGTGCAGTCTATCTGGGTGTAGGTACAGCGTTTTGTCCCACAGCTCCGATCCTTCAGTGTATGTGTCCAGGTTTCGCTGATCCTTCTTGTGTTCATCGTCAGGTGAAAGCATATAAGTTGTAACTACAGCTGCTTCTTTCGATAGCCATCCAGCGATTTGTATGGCTCCGGGATGTTTTTTAGTATCTGGATGTGGTCTCTCTACCCTCTGGAGGAATCTTTGATATGCCCAGGACATAGGGGTTTTCCTCATCTTAATTTGGGTCTCACAGGGAAACGCCCCGCATGGGCTGCCGGTATATGATGGTACCATTTTCCTAATTTCTCCGAATTGTATTCTGGTGAGCCAAGGCCATGGAAACCAGCTTGTCTTCCATGAGCCTTCCCAGCTACTCATTTTTGCTGTTTCTCTAATCTGACCCGGCAGGAATTGTTTGTTGAATCCTTCACCCCAGTCCGTCATGTTCTCTTCGAGTATGGTGTCCGTGAAGGACCATGATGAAAGGTTAAGGTCCCAGAACATGGTTTGAATTTCTGCTGGGTCTGGTACATGCCACTTATTTTTAACTTCTTCTAATCCATGGTCATGCGATGTCCAGTCCGGAATGGCCATCAATGTGTGCACATATCTTGTTTGGTCCGGTAAGGAGTGGTCCGTTATCATAACGTGTGGAATTACTAAGGTGCTCAGGGTTTCTGAATCAAAGCTGTCCGCTGCAGCCGTTAGTCCCGATGTGAGTCCTGACAGCTGGAACCACATCCATGCATCCATAAATGTTGTTTCGTCCTTCATTGTTTCTTCTCTTATTGACCTTTGATTTGGGTTTTCTTCATTAGCCTCAGAGAAAGTCCGGCAGATAATTACTACATCGGTACATTGCATCATCCCATTCTGGAGTTCTGAAGGGATAAGTGAACCAGCATTTCTTGGTTTTGGGATCCCGTTCACATTTATCAGTTTCGTTGAGTACACTTCCTCCAGGAGATCGTGGCAGCTGGTTAATGAGCTGCTGGATATGTTGTACTTGTTTCAGTTCTTCGTAATCCAATTCATCTGCCATACAGTTCATTGCCTTCTTCCACCACCTTCCAGTCTCTTTGTTATTTATCCATTGTTGGTACATTTCTTTTGATGCCATTGGGAGGGCAATGCCGACGGTGGTTCGATAGCACACTCCGAAGGGATCATCCCGGGGAAATTTTCTCATTCCTGCATCATCATTATCTGCGTCCATAAACGCCATCTGTCCCGATTTTGTCCAGATTAGTCTTCGCTGTACTTTTGGGAATTTGGCCAGAAATTGCTCGAGGTCGGGTCCTTCACTTGGTTCCCTATTTATATTAATTCTTTTTGTTCTGAGCACGTATAATTGCCATTTCCAGTACACTCCTTGTAGTCCATCATCGGCACTATAGCACTCTGACTTTGGATCAGAGCAGTCTGATATCTTCTCCCAGTCTTCCTTTTTCAGTATCGGGACTCTGGGTACCTCCATGTGAAGACCTGAGATGGTCCTTGTTCTCCATTGTGGATGTAATGCTGGGTATGACGTCCATCTATCAACGTGGCAGTCCTGGCATGTTGTCGAGGACCACGGGGTGCGGGTTCCATTCTTGTTTATCCCCCAGCATTTATATGTTTTAGCTATATTGTCCAGATACAGAGTGCAATTTTCGCCATTGGTTGAGAACGGTGAGGACGCCATTCCTGTGCCTCTTTCCGCATCAATTTCTATAGATATATGCTGGCACGGGGTAAGTATGCCTACGTCTAGTAATTTTTCTCTGATGAACTTCATCTGCCTGCTTAGATTGTTTAGATTGTTGAGAGTGCATCTTCCCACATGCTTTTCCGCTTCTGTGGTTTCCACCGATCTCTTCCAGCGGTTTCTTGTCACAGTGGTTTTCTCCTGGTTCTTCTCCCACCATGATTGTTCTAATTCCTCCTGGCTTGTTACTGCCAGTAGTTCTTGTTTGGCAATATGATAGGGTAGTTCTTCTTTGGGGAATTCTCCTGTTGTTCTCCAGGTTTCATGATTTGTCCAGTTCTCAAACGTCTTCCAATCTTTTTCGTTGATATATTTTCTTACTGGAATGTTCAGTACTGTTCTTTCGTCGACTTTGTGGCATGTTTTATGCAGGCTGTATAACGGTTCCTGCATCTCCCATCCTTCTCGAATTTCTTGGTGCAGTGCTGTATATATGCAGTCTTTTATACCCGTCTCGTACATCAATCCTGTGAGATCAAGACTCCATGCTTCTTCTCTTAGCAGCACTTTAGTCACTTGAAAGGACGATCCGTCCGTTCCAAACTTTTTCTCATAGGATTCCCACGTGGACAAGTGAGCCTCGGAGTATCCAAGGTGCGCTGCTCGACAGGCCTGTCGATATGCTTCTTCGGACATTTCTTTTAGAACTTCCATCATGGATCTTTCACAGCAGGGGCCCTTGAAGGGGATCCATTTGATGGTGCAGTTATCGACCTCCGGCGCAGGAAACTCCAGGTTACATGTATCTTGTGTTCCCGGCGTCTTCTTTTCTCGTGCTCCTGGAAGGTCTTCTGTTGTTGCGTTCATTTTTTCTTTTTCTTTTTGATCTTGGGCTGCCTCTCCTAACCATACTTGTGGATTGCAGGTCCCTCTGATTCCTATTCTTTATCACTAGAAATCGTATTGCTCCTAGAATGTATTTTCCTTGGTCGAAGGCCAAAGCCTCCCCTGTTCCTATTGGTATGGGATATCCTGGTTCTATGTGTGGGGTTATTATTGTGCAATTTTTACATTTTATGATTTTTTGTCTCCAGGTTGCCCTTTCTGCCCCCGTATCGGGTATTTTACTTATCACATGGATAAGGGCAGAGAGTAATGCTATTATTATTATTGCTATTATAACTCTAATTATGGTACTAGGTTTCCTAAGCTGTTTCAGTTCTTTCTTGAATTTTTGTTTGTATTTTCTCCTCTTTATATCTTTCCTAATTATTTCCATTGCATCTCCTCCTAGGGTATCTTCAGCAATGTCTGCTTGTGCCAGTGATAACCTAGCTTGGTTGTGGTACCATTTCTTGTACCACCATCTATTGATTTTTTCTACGGCAGACAATCCCATAGCTTTTCCTGGAAGGAAGGAGCAGAACATTAATTCATGTTACATTCCCCCTCTGCTCCTTGCTTCCCCCTATCTCCTAAACTCGATACGCCTAGTTGTGATGACTCTTTTTCCACCATGCCGACTTGCTGACCCTTGGGCCTACTTCGAGGGCATCGCTATTCTCGGTATTAATCAGATTTCCTCTAATCCAGAGTTTGACCCCTACAGCTATCAGGTTCATTCCTAACTCTGCTCCACTCATCCATTTATCAATGTATTGAGCACGGTCCAATGATGCCAGAGACAGCATCTCCACTGCACAGTGCAGCAGCTCTGGACCCGTCGGGGTCTGTACATTACTAGACCTTCTCTTAATGGTTACGACCATAGGGGACAGTGGCTTCATCGTTCCTGTTGTGATCCAGTCGATCCAATCAGGCCTTACACTCGGTGGAGCCCAACTCATCACCCCATGTCTGTCCAGTCTCTTACTGTCACACGGGAGTTTGCTGTCTTCTTAGCATACACTCCCATTGTGGCCAAAGACCATTTGAAAGTAAGAAACCTATTCCTCTTTCTAATTGGATGAGTTAGAGCAATCTGCAGGAAATTTAATTTATCAAATGAATTAAATCTATTCCAGTGTCTGTGAGCCAGCAGGCCAGCCAGTTCCAGCCTGGGCGTCCCATTCGGGGAGCAGATCCGAAACCCACAGTACGGATGCTGCCCGGCACCTGCAGGGATCCTCGTGAGAGTCCTGTCTGGTCGCGAGAGTTTGAGCTCCAAACTTCTCCCAGCATTGGGAGCAGAATGAGACTCTGCAGGCTCCAGCCAACTCGACTCCTTCATCCTTATCAGGTTCTTGATGATCACTTCTCAAATTCCTAAACCTTCTCTCACCCTCCCAGAGGAGGGTGAACACTTCGACGTGACAAAGGCAGCAGCCCCCCGGCCTGTAATCCCTCCAAGATGGTTCGGCACTCGGCGGTTGACCCGGGTAGATCACTCCTACCTTGTGCCGGCCAGATGGATGACATTTCAGGATTACCAGGCCCATGGTCAGGTAGGCCTGGTCCGGTTCGGCCTGGTGAGAACTGTTTGGGTCCTTTTTAGGGCCATCAGAAACTGATTTACCAGCCCTGATAACCTCTGAGGAACTATCGCTCCCCTGCTTCTCTACACCAAGTTGGGATCCCCATTTCAGCATCCTAGTTTTGACTGACTGAGGGGCCTCCGTCTGGGGCCCCTTGCTTGAATCGAATTTGTTTCGGATGGAATTTCCTGCCATCTTTCACTATAACCACGTTACCGGTTTGCTTTTTTAATATCTAAAACTTCTCTCGCGTCCTTAGTCCACACCTGGTCGCCTTCCTGCAACACAGGCGGGAGCTCGTTAGTATTACGGTTTCTCGCACGCAATTTTGGCTGACTCACGTACATGTTTATCTGGTACAATTTGTGCGGCTTGCACCAGTCTTTCCCGTATATACTAATTTGTTCTTTCGCTGCTCTAACCGCGCGTTCAGCGACACCATTTGTGTTGGACTGATAAGGGATACTGAGGACATGCTTGATTCCTAGTTCTTCCAGAAAGGTTTCAAACTCCCCTCCTGTGAACATAGTTGCATTATCTGACCTAATCGAAGTTATTGTGGGATTACCTTGTAAGTAAGATAACACACATTTCTCAGCCTCCTGCTGACTTTCTCTTTTTATAGGGTATACCCTTGTATTTCCACCTCCATTGTCGGCTATCACCAGGAATTTACTGTTATTTTTCCTTTTATTCGTCAAATGACCTACGTCCATGGACGCAGATATCCCCGGCTCGTCTTCAATTATGGGCAATTGTTTGTATTGTATCGGGGGTAGATTTCCCTTCCGGGCGCAGACCCCACAATTGTTTCTCAGTTCCCTGAGTTTTTCGCTTAACCCTCCCGTTGATATCTCGTTTTCTTTCATCCACTTAGTCATCCTCTCCACCCCCGGGTGGCATAGGATGGAGTGAATGTGACGCAAGTATTTATCCTGGTCCTCGGTTGGTATCGTTACCACTCCTTTCTCATTGGACCAACTAGAGGGCATCAGAAGTCGTTCAACTCTGAGGCCTCGGAGTTGGACCAAATGATCCACTAGCCTGTTGCCCTCATGCTCGAAGGACTTACCATTTGTGTGACTATTTACATGATCTATCCAGATCGTAACTTTCTGAAGCAGTTGGGCTACCACTATCCACAAGTCCTTGTGGCCTAACTCTTGTCCTTTATAATTCTGATATTCCCTCACTTTCCAGTATTTCAAGTTTTCCCTAACTCCTTGAACCACATACCAACTATCTGACACTAGTCTGCACTTCTTAATTTTCCTCTTTTTGAGCCATTGCAAGGCTTTTACAAGCGCTATCAGCTCGGTTTCCTGAGCTGTTTCGCCTTGCTTTCCTGTCTGTTGGTATATTTGCTGTTGTTCCTTATACACAACAAATCCCCATTTTCCTATCTCATCTTCCTTGGTCATGCTGCCATCAGTGAAGACAGTGTAAATCCCGTCCCACTCTGGATCTTGCATGGCCTTTTCTTTTGGTATTTTATTGCCAATGATAACTATCTTCCAATTAGGATCTTGTAGCATCATGGCCCATTTTCCCCATCTAGCTTGATACGCTTTGGAGAATTCAATCGTCTCTTTAGACATTTCTTTGGTCAATGGATGTTCAGTCCTAACTACCACTGATCTCTCGCCTATCATGTTCCTTAATTCTTTGTACGCCTTCCACAGGAGTAGGATTTCTTTCTCTACGTCATTATATTTTATTTCTGTATTTGAGAATCTGTGCGAGTAATATGAAAATGGTTTATCTGAGTCCTGCTCCGTAGCAGAGACCCAGCCACCTTCACATGACACCTGTGTGTCAAGATATATTGTACCATGACCTACACATGGTGCGAGGGACCTTGCCGTATTTTTTAGTTCAGTCAAGGTCGACTCCCACAATTTGATTTCCTCTGGGCTAAGCTTTCTGTCTGCTTCAATCATCCTTTTCCTGGACGTGTCCCACCTCCTAAGGCCTAGTTTCAGTTGTTCAACTGATCTTACAACAACTGGGTATCCCGGGATTGCTGCTCTGAGCCACCCAGTTTTCCCCAGGGCTGATTCCAATTGCTTAATTGTCAAAGGCCTGAGATCTCCTAGGTATCCTTCTATCATTTTCACTCCGTCAGATCCCACTTGCATTCCCAAGTATTTCACGCTGGAAACCCCGATTTCGCATTTTGGTATTCCTATTTTCATCCCTGAATCCTTCAGCCTAGTGACTATCTGATCCAGGAGGACCAGGTGTTCTTCCTCGGTGTCCGAGGAGAAGAACAAATCATCTATATACACATTCACTGGAAGTCCTTCCAGCATTTTCTCCATTCTATCTTGAAACGCATTGGGACTATTACAAAATCCCTGTGGCAATCTTGCCCAGCGATATCCTTTACCTCTCAGCATAAAGCACGTCTTGTATTGGGATTCTTCTGCCAATGGCACACTCCAGAATCCGTTTGCTAAATCTATTGAGCTGTTAAATCGCTTCGGTCTGAGCGACATCATTGTTTCGCGCGGGTTGACTATCTGTCTCGTATCCTTTACCGTGACATCGTTTAGTTCTTTCAGGTTATGTACCGGCCTTACTGTGCCATCTTTTTTGGGCACGGCCTGTACTGGCATGAGACAGGGAGGTTCAGGAGTGGGTATGACTACCCCTAGTTTGACCAATTCCTTAATTATTTCTTCAAATTCCTTTTCAGCAGGGCCAAGGGGGTACTGTCTCGACTTGCCAGGCATTCCTCCTCTGATCACATATGGCTCTGTCTTCATGAATCCTATGTCATTTTTGAATTTAGCCACCTCCGCCTTCTCTAAGATTCGTCTTAGAGCTATCTTGTTTTTAATTTCCGATTTGGCAATTATCTGTTCCATTGCCATATTGATATTGACTTCTTTTATCCAGTTTACTTTTGGAGAGATCAGCCAATCTATGTCCCTTAGTGACAGCAGCGGTACTGGTCCTACAAGCACTGTCCTTCCCCTAAGCGACCCTTGTTTCATTGTTATAAAATTCCCGTCAGCTAACTGAACTAGCGATTTTTCATTCGTCGGTATGACCCATGATTCGGGTAATACCGTCATTTCTGCTCCGGTGTCGATGTTAATTTTGCGTTTTATATTGTTTATTTCTATCCATCCTATTAGGGAGGTGTCCTCGAGGACCGCATTGTTAATTGTGTCTCTAAGTTTATTTATTGTCTCTGTCCCATGTTCGCCCGTGGCTGTACTGTCGGAGCCGGACCGTTCATGGCTTTCCATGCCATCTGTTTCTGTCTCAGCTCGTTTCTCTGTTCCCTTGTCATTGCCGCGTATTCTTCTTGTGAAACGTAGGGACAGCGGGTTTGATTCCCCTGCTGAGGATTCTGATTCCCTTGTTGGGTATTCTGATTCCCTGCGCTCATATCCTGTGAGTTGTTCCCTTGGGTCTTGGGGTCTCTTTGGTCTCCCGACCGAGGCCCTCTGCCCCGTTTTTGGTTTCTCAGGTAGGGTCTTTGATTGTTTTGCTGAAAATCCTGTCCCTGACTGTTCTGAAAATTTTGTCCTGGATTTTGATTGGATGGACCATTCCTGTTCGTGTTCTTCGACTGGTCGGGTGGTGGCCCTTGAGCCCGGCCATCCCCGTTTTTTGATTGCGTCTTCCTAGCGCGTTTTTTCTCTTTTATTATAGTGAAGGCTGCATCAGTATCTGCTATTGCCTCACGCCTATCGTCCTTGGACATTCTCTCCCATTTCACCGAGAGTGTGGCTGAACCTGGCACATCTATTCCCCTAAGGAACCTAGCTTGATCTCTATCTGTAGCGCCTGCAGCTACAATGGCTGACATGGCATGTAGCAGGCTAATGTTTCCTTTTTCTAGACTTAGGCTAGCACTCCTAATGGCCTCTTCCACCTTATCCTTGAACCTTGCTCCTTGGTCACTCTGCCTCAAGTCCTCCAGTGTCTGATTTTTACCTAATTGTAGCTCATGTGTGGACGAAATTATCCTAGAAATTGCTGGGTCTGTGAGGTATCCTTCAGGAACCTGCTGAGCTGCTCTAGTTACATACTCGCAGGCAGTCTCTTGCGGCTCCCTTCTTGGGAACATGTGTACTACATCTGACACTGTAAATTGCAAGTTGGCTACTCTCTCCTGTGGACCACTTGTGGTCCTATGATCTTCATGTCCAGTGAGGAAGAATGTTCCCTCAGCCTGGTTAATTCTTTCTGAGAAATTATCAGCCTCGAGGCTATTCAGCCTTCTTCTAGTGTATGGCGACTGACTACACTCGCTTCTAGCACTGGGTGATTCCGGATCTGGTAAGGGCCTTTCGGCAGGTTCTTGAGGTCTATGGTGGTCAATGCTATTACGTCTGATACTCCTAATTATTCCTTTGTGGTCACTCTGGTGGGCATCATGCGCCTTGGCCATATACGCCACTTTCCATGGTTTGGATATTCCTGGCCATTCTGCTATTTGCTGCGACGTAGGTGAGTTCTCAACTTCCTGAATGTGTTCCTCATCATAAGGATACCATTCAGGGATATTTATCGCTTCCATTTCATTGTCGTATTCCGCGTCGTGTACTGCCGGAACATAGCAATGTCCTGTATAATTGTTGGGTCTTGGCTCTGAGCCGCAAGGCCATTTGTATGGGTCATACAATCCCCAGGACACAGCCTTTCCCCTAGCGTTTTTTCCTCTTTTAGGTTTGAACGGCGGAGAGCCCCTATCGTCCTGCGATGGGGCTGGATGTTCAGTAATTACGTTCCTGGGTGCTATTTTTCTAGTCGGGTAGAGGTCCCTGACCTCACGCTGTTTTTCGGTTTCTATCTCTATTCTGGAGGGTGTCACATATTCCCTTGAATCCCTCATACGTGACCCACTATCTTCCCGAGGGGTGGAAGCGGTTCTAGGTCTGAACCCTGACTGTGAAGTGGGGAGACTATCGGGGTGTATCACCATAGTTTCCCTTGGGACCCCTGTTTTACTTCTAATTACCTCCTGTATTACCCTATACAGCAGTTCTGCCTGCTCTTTCCCCGCTTTGAGTAGTGAGACTTCCTGAACCCAATCAGAGACCAGAAACTTCTGCACTATCATTGAAGCTATCACTGGGAGAGCTTTGGTTTGCGATATCCCCACAAAAGGGTCTTTAAAATTTAGGTCAAATGTCACTTTTGCCTCACTTCTCAGAGCTATCGTTATTTGTTTGTTCAACTTCGCATCCACATGGTTGTTTTCCACCAGGTATATGTTTTCTACACTATTTTTTCCCCCCATGGATAGAAATTCTATCCTTTCCATTCTAAGTTCCTTTCTCCACGGATCTTCACGTACGAATCCTCCTATTCTCACTAGGGAATTATGGTTCCTTTGTTCGTTGAACTTCGCAGCGGATACCTTTCGTCTTATAGCGGTGAAGTTTTTGTTGTCTTCATTCATATTTGCCGCGATAACTATATACGATGACCCATCAGGGTTCCATTTTGCCGAGGTGGTTGCGATGACTGTCAGTATCCTTTTTCCGATCTTGACAGCCCACGTATCCTCCGTTGCGTCTTCGTCTTCCGGCTCGTCTAGATTAGGCATTGGGGCTATCGGTACCCTATCCTGCTGTACTATAGGCCTTGCTCTCTGAGCGATATTACTTGTTCCCGTAACTTGGGTCTGTGCATCCCTACTCTGCGTTTTTCGGGTGAGACGAGGTTGCCTCGCCGCGGAGGGCGTGAACGGGTCCTCCCTCCTAGCCTCCGGAGCTGGCGGGGTTTGCTTCACAATTCTATCAATGTTTGCACATTCCTCAGCCATCCTACTAAGTTCATGTACAGACTCTTCGAGTAATGTACTGTATCTTCTAGACTTTCCCGATGTTATAGGTAATTCCCTATAACTGTCCTCACTGTGTCGCCTCGAATATTCCCTAACCATGCGATCCTCGTCGTCTCCTATGGGGTTCTCCTCTATATCTTCATCGGATTCCACTATTTCGTGGCCACTATCTATTTTGTTAGCGCCCGATGGGCTTTCCTCTTCTTCATCAGAGCCATCACTATCCCGATCATCTGGGTCCCCGAATGCGGTCCAGGTGCTTCCTGAGCTCCCCGAATGCTCATTCAGCGGCACTATGCTAGGTATCTCCCCTCGAAGGCGGGGATACATGCTTGCGCGAATCGGCTCCCACGATCGTTCATCATTTCTCTCGCAATCCTCCATTGCAGGGGCCGTGGGAGCTGTTATTGCATTTACTATACTATTAGCTTCCTTCGCTATAGCTGACGCGGGCGTCAGCCCACTAAGTTCCTGTAGCTGTTTTGTAAGTTCTACAAGCTCATCATTTTGCGCATGAGGGTAGGGCGGAGGATCAGACCCTCTTGGTATGTCCTCTAGCCCTACTGGATGGGTCCTCCTATCGTCCCCGGGGTCCCGCAGCTCATACGCGTCTTCAACGCTATCTAGGTTATACATGTCTGCAAGTCTATTGAGAGCGTCGTTGTATTTCTGCTCTGAATTTAGAATCCATATTATAGTTTTTCCCGTTCTAGGTAGCTTTGCTAGCCACTCAACCCCTGCTTGGGCCATGCACCCTTGTGCCATATCTACGGGGTATCGGTACTGCCCGTCACCCCATGTGGTCACAATGGCGTCCCTAGTTGTTAGTTTACCAAACGAGCGCCTTAGGATTCTTCTTAGCTTTTCTTCATTAAGCATTGGGAGTTGTTCATCATCATATGGGTTATAATACCCGTTCGCTAATTTAACTATATTACTATGACCAACTTCGTCCTGATGGACCGCGTCTATTGAGCAGAATCCCTCAGGCCAACCTTCCTCTGGTTCGGTTTGATGAACCATTTGCATTGTTTTGGGGAAATGGGTAGCAACCCATTTTGCCACTCCTGCCCCATCTCTACCTTGTGGGTTGCGTGGGTTAAACAGGGTAGCATCCCCGGTTACCATTGAGTTTATAAATTGATGTCCCAGGTCACACCTTATCAGTTTCCAACTTCCTATTTGATGCATTTTAGGATTGAGCGTTCTTCGCGGTGGGTTGATGTCAATTATGTCAGTCAGTCCGCCCGTAGACATTCTTCGGGCTTGGGTTTGCATGAAGCTGGGGAGTTCATCCGCCATAGTTATATCAGACTCGTTACTCTATCTAATCACTACGCAGATATGTTTTCAGGGATATTCTCGACCGTCCCTAAGGCGATTACTACACGACACGGGCGTGGATTTTAGGGATATTCTTACCGTCCCAGCGCAGTTAAAGGGATATTCTGACGTCCCAGCGCAGTTAAAGGGATATTCTGACCGTCCCAGCGCAGTTAAAGGGATATTCTGACCGTCCCAGCGCAGTTAAAGGGATATTCTGACCGTCCCAGCGCAGTTAAAGGGATATTTGGTCGACGCAGTAAAGGATATTCTGACCGTCCCAGCGCAGTTAAAGGGATATTCTGACCGTCCAGCGCAGTTAAGGTATTCTGACCGTCCCAGCGCAGTTAAAGGGATATTCTGACCGTCCCAGCGCAGTTAAAGGGATATTCTACCGTCCCAGCGCAGTTAAAGGGATATTCTGACCGTCCCAGCGCAGTTAAAGGGATATTCTGACCGTCCCAGGCAGTTAAAGGATATTCTGACCGTCCCAGCGCAGTTAAAGGGATATTCTAACCGTCCCAGCGCAGTTTTTTCCCGGCGCAATGCGGGTAACTCTCTTATCCACATTCCTGGATAAGGGAGGCAGGGCCAGAAATCCCCACTGGGTTACTGCGTCACACCTGCCAGTAACCGTATTTTGAGCTCAGATTGTTCAGTTAGGGTCCTCCTGTCCCCTGGCGCGGCTTGTATAGGTGACCGCCTATACGCCTTTTAGGTCACGGCACAGTGTATCCTACTCCTGGTTGATCAGGTCAGTTTCGGATAGGGCCGCTACTGTTAAGCCTGATAGGACAGAATTCTCCTCAACCGTTTCTGGTAGCCAATTTCACGCTTCCTCCCTGACCGGCGGTACTTACGGGCACACGTTACAAGGTTTTAAGTCCAATGCCAGCGGCTTATTCTGGTATCAGACTCGCTGCTCAGTGTTTCCTCGGACAACACTGTTTTCTATTTTCACGGATTCCTAATTCGCAACGCCTCCTCCCTGGCTTATAGCGCTTAGTCCAGTGTTTCCTCGGACAACACTGTTTTCTATTTTCACGGATTCCTAATTCGCAACGCCTCCTCCCTGGCTTATAGCGCTTAGTCCAGTGTTTCCTCGGACAACACTGTTTTCTATTTTCACGGATTCCTAATTCGCAACGCCTCCTCCCTGGCTTATAGCGCTTACGGGCACACGCTGTATACTAAATTTTGGGTATTTCTTTTATTTTTTATTTTTATTATATTTCTCAATTCGAGGGCAATCTTACCAAGGTACCAATGCGTTAACCTTACAGTATCATACCTGTCGGTGTGGATTGGATCTTAGTCATGTCCCTGTTCGGGCGCCATGTAATCGGAGCGAGTGAGGAACCAGCGTCTCTTCAGGATCTAACCCTCGGAGGCGCCTTTACCTTGCTCTATAACGCAGACTCCCTAGTAGGGCCTGGCTTTTGGTAGCGCTAGTCCCGACCTGCCTCGTGCTGGGTCTAAGGCTAGCTAAGTTTTTGTCCCTGCCTAACGTTTTTTCCCCTTGGTGTGGCTAATCCGTAGAGAAGCAGAAGCTCTAGGTGCGATATACCAAAATCAGTCTACTTTTACTACTCACCTTTAGCCTAGGGCCGCCCTGCCCTGTCCAAGCGTTCTTCAAGGAAGGTTTTCAGAAAGTGTGAAGCGGAGTCGGCGAGCTGTCTTTCGTGAGTCGGGGCGACTCTTTTATTCAAAGCCAAGCAAGCAAATCGTCAATCCAAGTTTACAGAGTTACAAAGGTCTCGCAACACAAGTCACTCTCACAAGGACCCCTGAATGAAAGCCTCCGGCTGCTCTCGTCTGCGCTGCGCGCTGCCCGACTGTCTGACTCTCTCCGAGTCTTCCTTTTTATAGCGCATGCAGCCTTCAAGCAGCGGAAAGCCCCCTCAGCATTAAGGCTGACCTCATTCAGGAAGTACATGTACATATATGGGCAAGGAAGGAAATGCATATATGGTCATGGCAGGAAGGATGTACATATTTGGTCCTCCTGCTTGTATGGACTGTCCCCCAGTTAGGACAGCGGCTGCGCAGAGAAATGAACTTTTACCCAGTTATTTGAACTTTCCTCCAGTTAGCAGAGAGACTGCGCAAAGGAATGAACTTTTACCCAGTTACTTGAACTTTGGCCCAGTTCTTAAGCATATATGATCTTTCCTTGCCGTGAACTTTAACACACTTTAATGAACTTTAATCTAGTTAGCATAATGTTACATAAATCACCTTAAATCACATTACACTTTATTAAATCACATTACTGACCATCAAGATCACTATTTAACGCATTTTCCTTACGTTTCACACATGATTATAAAATGTTATTTTGTATTACATCACAAAATCATATTTTGTATTACATAAACATACACACATACCAACTGACGTCACACAGAATTACAGAGTCAATGGAGAGGCCAGGACCAACTTCAAATGTAGTACCACCAAAACGATTGAGAGGGCGCCACACAGACGTTTTTTTTAAAATCTAATTTGCACTAAAATGTCAAAAAAGTTGATTTGGTGTTGAGTCGCTCTTTAAGGTTTTAGAAAATAATCGCACTTGCGAGAAACAGGCAGAGGGTGAAGGGGTGTAAACGCATCCCATTTGTTCGTTGAGGATGCACAAATCCCATTGGTTCATTTTTATCGGTCCGCTCCAAAATATGTTGTATTAATTTTTGGAGACTATAGCAATCTGGTCAATTCCATTACTATTTGAAAACACATGATAACTTGTCTACTTTTAGGGTTTAGGGACATTTTTCCACAATATTTTAAAAAATGCATCTGCAAAAAATCACAGACTGCATCTTAAAATGTTTCCTCTTTGGTTTCGTTAACAACTTAATGTCAGATACTTTATTGATCCCAGTAGGAGACATTCAGGTGTCCAGTAGCAGAAAAAACACATCATATTCACACAAACAAATAAATGTATCATCCTGAAAAGCTAACAATAGTGATATTAAAATGCAGCCGCACTTCAGGTCATAACAGCAGTGGTGGTGTAAAAAATAAGGTAAGGCAAGGCAAGTTTATTTATATAAATTTTATATAGATTTTAGCAGCATGAATCTGAAAAGCAGCCTCCCCATGTTTAGTTCTGACTCTGGGCACTAACAGGAGTCCAGTCCCTGTGCTCTTCAGAGTCCCAGCAGGAGTCCAGTCCCTGTGCTCCTCAGAGTCCCAGCAGGAGTCCAGTCCCTGTGCTCCTCAGAGTCCCAGCAGGAGTCCAGTCCCTGTGCTCCTCAGAGTCCCAGCAGGAGTCCAGTCCCTGTGCTCCTCAGAGTCCCAGCAGGAGTCCAGTCCCTGTGCTCCTCAGAGTCCCAGCAGGAGTCCAGTCCCTGTGCTCCTCAGAGTCCCAGCAGGAGTCCAGTCCCTGTGCTCCTCAGAGTCCCAGCAGGAGTCCAGTCCCTGTGCTCCTCAGAGTCCCAGCAGGAGTCCAGTCCCTGTGCTCCTCAGAGTCCGGGCTGGTTCATATGGGACTAACATGTCACTAATATATTTTGGTGCGAGGCCATGGAGAGACTTGTAACAAGCAGAGCTGTTTTAAAGTCTATTCTCTGAGCCACAGGAAGCCAGTGCAGAGACCTGAGGACCGGACTAATGTGGTCGTACTTCCTGGTTTTAGTCAGGACTCGAGCTGCTGCATTTTGAAAAATTATTAAAAAATAAAGCATTCCTCCAGTGGACTTTTGGCTGATCTGGTCTGGAGCAATACACAACCATGAACACTGTACTGCAGCAACATCTCAACAGGTAGAACAAGAGAGACGTTGATTGCAAAAAAAAACATGTTATTGCCCTGACAGAGCGACATGCCTTCCAGCCATTTAGTCCAATGAAGGCCTCCATCTTCCCGAAGGTTTTTTAAAAGGCACATTATGCAGTCCTCCACCGGCGTATTTCTACAGCCACACAAGAGAAGAATCCCTGTGCCAATGAACGTAAATCTAGCTTTTACAAGACAGAGCAACACGCTGTTAAAGTAATGGCCAAGAATCATAATGGAGGTTTATAGCAAAAGAGATGTGTGTTGGGCAGAGACAAATTCAGTGTTTATAGAGCACCGTTAGTGGTGTCGCTGGTCAAATCAAAGGAAATGCATCAATGTGTGACATCTCAGCATTGGAAAAGGGATAAATGAACCCATTTTTGACAAGCTTTCATGACAGCTGAATTGGAAAGGCTCCGGAATAGATTTTCTTCAGTCAGATGGATTGAAAGTACTGCAAGAAAAATAGATAGCTGTTGAAGGTATATCTACTTTTTTCACAACATTACACTTTTCAGATACA